CGCGTCGTGGACGTAATCTGAACCCCGCGAACCCCTAGGAACAGTAGCGGCACAAGGGTGAGTAGTCGGACGGCCATCTGGACAAGGTGTTGCGGTCCGACGTCCTTCACTTGAGCGTCCGCCTATATATGCGCCTCAGACTTTCTGGAAGCCTTCTGCGGCAATGAGTTCCACGATTCCATGATGGAGGGCGTGACCGCGTGACGGGTTTCATCAAGTGACTGTAAGTGACGCAGACCAGTTTTCGCCGCCAGTGTGAGATCACGGAGAATGAGCGCAATGGAACAGTGGTCCTCAAGTGTCCAAGGGCCTACTCATCAAGACGGTGTCAAGAACTCTGCACAAGCGACAAAGTTTCCAATCTATTGGCTTTTGCTGAGGCATGAGCTCTTGAGATCTTGAGCTTGAAGGATTGACGTTCTGGTGCGAGCTTCGGTCTGACGACAAGAAGGGACCAAGGCGGGCCGGCGGCTTTCTGTGCCTTCAGGATTCCGTGATGCGGTCTCATGGCCAGATCTTGCCATGAACAGACGATCTATACGTAGCTGACTTCCACGTTGCTGCTAGATCATGAAAGGCCCGGCCGTTGCAATGGATGTACTAGTCATTGAACGCGCTTCTCAGCATAATGCGGACTCACGAATCAAGATGGACATACCGGAATCATGTTCAAATTACTACTCCCAGCAAGCTTGCTCCGCGATGTTCTCAGCTTGGGAGACGCGGTGGCAACGGCCCATCAGAGACCGTAGAGTACGAAGAGTAATGCACAGGTCTTAAGCATCGGTTGCGCAAATGTGCACACCAGCAGTGTCGCGGGCAAGTATGCAAGTACAACTTGAAGGCCGACGCTCATATGCCTCCTCAGTGCATCCTGCGCTCATCGCACCGTGTCCCACGCCATCGAGGTTCGATCGACGACCGGCCCGCCCGGGAGGACCACCCCGGAGAGTTCGGGCATGCCATACTGGGACCAGACTCTGTGTCGGAGTCTCCGATTGTTGCCTCCGAGTCGTATCCCTGTCGTATCCTCAACCTTCATCTTCTGTACATGAGCATTTGCGTGGTCTGCAACGACTGCAGCTTCGTGTCTTCGCTTCCGCGCAAAAAGCGACCGAGGCCGACTCACTGGTACGGCGTCCAGACTCCGCGGATCTGCCAACACTGCCACACGCCGTTATGGCTCCCATATGGCCTGATCCTGACGCGGGCAATAGTATCGCGGGAGTGTGTTGTTGACTGACATTACTTATCGTCAGTACAGGTTCTGCGCCGCAGCGAGGTTATCGCGCTGCGACTTACTTGCACAGTGCGCCAGGCTTGATCGCTTCACCGTATCTGCGTCAGTCACTTCAATTCTCCGAACGGCCAGTGCTCAGGCCTCTCTCCGCTGTCCAGAACAATGTGCTGGTGGAGAAGACTTGCCCCCATCTTACTTTCAGTGAGACTGTGGGCCTTGATTAGTGCTTCGCAAGTGCCGCTCACACCTTCGGTCGATACGTCACCCCGAGCATGGCACTCCCGCCCATGGAACGAACGTCTAAGCGAAGACGCGACGGGCAACCTCGTATTCCAGTCTCTGGCTCTCTTCTGCAAATGATGCCGAACTCCAAGTACCCTATTGGTACGATTCCTGCTCCAACTCCTTGTTACGTCCAGTCACTAATCTCGGACTCAGGCCACTCCATTGCGCGTGCGATCATCCCGAAGGGCACTGTGCTTCACCACGGGAGATTTTTACGCGGCTGCCCGTCGATGGACTGGATCGCGTTCGACCTCGAGCACTCCATGATGTTTGCCTTTGGCACGAACGGCACCTTGCTGACGTACATCGCAACTCGCGATCTGCAGCTCGTCTACTTTGACGGATGCAGCGGCAACAAGTACGGCGGTGTGGGCGACACCCAAGACATCTTGATCTGGGGTGAGCCGGGCCGGACAGGGGACCCAGGAAGCCCGTGGAGGCACGAGATAGACCGTATAGTCGACGGATGTGCTTGGGCAAGGCAATACGGAATTGACGGTTTCCTGCGGATGGAATTCGACTTGTACGTGCTTCAGCTACTCTAGATGCCTCGCGCTGACTTTCCTTGCTACATGTCCCAGCGAGGTCATGTACTGCGATTTCTCGCAGGGCCTGGAGCTTGTCTCTACCATGTCGAGTGTGAACTCGTTAGCTGATTTGGATCCTTCTTCGCCTTTCCCGACTCCCTCAGACGCGTCACGATCAGAAGACGATCTTTCTGCACCGCCATGGCAAGATCGGCTCCCTCGTGGCCAGTGCACTCCAGAAGCGACGATCCACGGGCTTACCCACAATCAGCTCGACAAGGAGAACGGTCTGCTCAGAGATCAGTTGGTCGATGATCCACGTTCGTACCCCAAGGGATGGAAAGGGGCGCTGCCCGACCTAGACATCGAAGGCTTTAACGCGGGGACATGGCACAACCAGTTCCCAGGAGAAGTACGCGTCCGCGTTGATCCCGCGAGTATGTTCTCCTTCTACGACCCAGCCCTGACGTCGCTCGTCGAGGCGCGTCGCACAATGGCGCGGGACGAGTACCGCCCGGGCAACATCTCGCAGGCGGACATCGCCCACGTGCGCGCGGACATCGCCGAAGTCATGACACGCAACTCGTCGGCGACGAGCGGGGTGGACTGGGAGGCCCTTGCACGGGTCATCCAGGACCGCTTTTCAGGCCGACTCCCGTACGTGCGGCACCTCCTGCACCAGCCGGTGACGAACGTCACCGAACGGCTGGCGAGGGTCCGCAGGCAGCTCGTCGTCTCGCTCATCCCGTACATGCACCGCGAAGACATCGGGGAGCCAGCATGGTTCGCGAGGATCGCGCGCGACTGCGCGGCGCGCTTCACGGGGCACTTGCCGCGGGCAGAGTTCACGAAGCAGGAGCGCGTTCTGCATCACGCCGTGGAGGAGGTGCTGCACGAGATCTGTCGAGTCTACACGGAGGCTTGGGTAGATGCCTTCGACGCGGAAGAGAAGTCCGCCGACGTCGTCCGAGGATACCTGGAGAAGTGGAGGGGTGAATTCGACTCGCTTATAGACTGGCTTGATTGGCCAGTATGGATCAAATGCGAGCCCGCTTGTGGCGTCGACGTGAGTGCTTCCTGTTGAATACGGATCTATGAGGTTGACAGGATTTCCGTAGGAGCTCTGTTGGGTGCCGCAAGGCGCGCCGTGGGTTCCTGATGGCGATTACGAACCGCACTGTATTCCGATAGACTTCGACGGGTTTCCGCCTCCACTTTAGAGAGGGATGAAACGTAGTCAAGGATTATTCATATCAGGTGTGCGGTCTCATGCGATTCTGGTCAGAAGTGATGTTGACCATCAGTCTGTAGTATATGCTACATATGACTTACTAATACACTAGTTTTGTGCGGCCTGCGACTGGTGAGCCTCACACGATCGGGCAGTATATCAAGTAGAGGTATCCATAACAAGTGTTATAGCCGTGTTTCTGCGCGGCGTAGAGGTTAATGGACGTCGGACCTGAGGCTGAATCTCATAGTGAGTTTGAATCGAGATCAGGTCGAGTGAACGATGCTGAAGACATCATAGTACGAGGATTCCTGTTCGAAAAAGAGCGGCAATCAGCGGAGTCAATTCCTGTATGCGATGGATAATGAACATACGGAGCAATGACGACGACAAATCTTCCGTGGTGACTGCTGGGCCAAACTGAACGTCGCTGGATGATAGTGCGTTATTCGCATCCACGCGACAAACTGTGCCCCGAGGTCACGTCGCCAACGTCGTCGGCACTTGCAGGCGCAACGTCGCAGTGCTCAGGCTCGCATGCTTCGACCTCCTCATCGCCACAAACAGTGACCGAGTCGTCTTCGTCTTCGGAGCGCGCCGCATGGTCTCCAACGTACACATCGCTCTCGTACCCTTCGTCGCTCGAGACGTCCTCATCCGTACCATCCATGTACCCAGCTTCTGCATACTCCACAGCATCCTGGCTGTACTCCACGCCGTTCCCGACGGGCTCCTCGCCTTCCTCGGTGTAACATATACCTTCCTCCGTATGATACGCGCCATCTTCGTCACAGTCCTCGCGTTCAAACACCTCTTGGTCGTCTCCGGCGAGTTCATCATCGGTGTCAGCATCAGGTTCGATACCTTCATCGTCGTACTCCCCGCGAGCGGCGTCGTCTTCAGTATCATCGCCTTCGTCGACGGGATCGGGCTGTGGGAGCATGCGCAAGGCGTCGATCCAGACATCGTCTCCGAGGCTCTCGATATTGAGACGCCACGGTGTATGCGACCCTCCAACGCAGCAATACCATTGAGGTTTGCCTTTCAGCGGCATAAACTCCTTCAGCGCGACTGCGTACTCCCGGGGCAGCAGCAGCGAGCGAGCAATACATCTGGGGGGATATGGCCTGAGCTTGTAGTCGACATAGACCGCGAAGATAAGCTCTGTATGGCAGCCGTGACCAACCACGCAGTCCATGAGGTACGGCCACCGCAGCTTCAATGCGATGTAGTCGATAGCCTGCGGCATACGTGAGTCTTAACGTGTTGTCGGCTTCTGGTCCTTGTACGAGCTGGAGTTGCCGAGCGAATTGCAGGAGATATTCCTTGTCCACGACCCATCCAAGAGCCCAGGGCAATAGAGACATATTTGATGCGGAGAAAGACAGGTTCCGGTACGCGACACCGTGATGAAGGAGATTGAGGCCTCGCGGCCACTGGAGGCGTGATCCGCAGCCACAGACGCGTCTAGCTTTCTGAGAGTCTGAGAGTCTGGCTACAAATCGTCATATCGGAATGTTGGACGAATACGTTCTTCAGGTTGCGTGTGTCTATCCTACAGGTATCAGGTCATCGGTAAAGAATCATCTAGCCTTCGCCGCCATAGCCTGGCCAGCTGGGTCTGAGGATCTGAAGTGTGGACTCTAGTACTGACGCGACAATAGTAAGAAGTCGTCACATCAAAAAGCTGGCCCATTCGACCGCAGCTTTCACTGTGTACTGCGCGTAGACTGGGATCGATTTATGATGCAAATACATATAACAGTGTGGATATTGTACGAAACGACGAGATTGATTCGGGGGATTGCGACGTATGTGGTACAATGTAACAGCGTTTGAGCGACTTGGAGAGCAAATTTATCGGAAAGAGCAACGGGGCAACATGCAGACAGTGAGATGATCCTAGGTATGAATACGGAAGGGTGCCAGGGCGACACAAGGCGACGGTTTCTGTTGAGTAAGTGAAAAATGGCGGTCAGGTTCGATGCACTCGCGTAGCATTGAACATAAACGTACGGAAGTATCACGGTGCATCTCCTGCCGCGCCCGTGGGGCTCGTTTCAGAGCGGCATTCCACACCGCGAGATGAGGGCACGTCATCGACCCCTCCACGATGGACATCGCCTGCGCTCGACGTAGCGTTGCAGTCGTCGTAAATCCCGACGGATGCAACCGCCTGACCACCATCGTTCTCAGTGCATATGTCGGCATCCTCGTCACCGCGAACAGTATCCGAGTCGTCGTCTTCGATGTCCACCACGCCTTGTTCATCGTACACGGCAACCTCACCCTCGCTGCCCACCATAGACCCCTTGTCGTAGTCTGTACCGTCCTGAGAGCCCGTCGCACCCTCTTCCAGGTCCTCCGCATCGCCCTCGGGGCACTGCTCTCCTTCCTCAAGGTACTCTTCTCCTTCCTCGAGGTACTCTCCTCCTTCCTCGAGGTACTCTCCTCCTTCCTCGAGGTACTCCTCTCCTTCCTCGAGGTACTCTTCTCCTTCCTCGGCGTACTCCACGAGTTCCTGATCGTCTTCATAGAACTCCACAAGGTCTTCTTCGGCACCAACACCATACTCGACTTCCTCCTCATCGTACTCCCCGTACTCGGCTTCGTATTCTTGCACGACAACATCCACACCAGCTTCTTCCTCCGGTTCGGGCTGTGGCAACGTGTGCAAGACGTCGACCCAGACTTCATCCTCGTCGTCGTCATCGTCGTCCGGATAGCGCCACGGTGTATGCGAGCCGTCGACACACTGATACCACTGAGCCTTGCCCTTGAGTGGCATCAGCTCGTTCAACTTGTCGGCGTACTTCTTCGACAACATCTGCGAGCGCGGAATCCACCTTGGGGGGTACGACCTGCGCTTGTTATCGACGTAGATGGCGAAGACGAGCTCGGTGTCCCAGTCGTTATCACCAACCCGGCACCGCATCATGTATGGCCACCAAAGGCGACCCACGATGTAGTCGACTCCCGCGTACTCGACTTCTATTTCTTTGTCGGCTTTTGGCCCGCGTACAAGGTTAAGACGCCTGGCAAGTTGGGTGACGGCTTCTTTGTCGACAAGCCACCCGAGAGCCCAAGGTTTCCGCGACATCATAAAGTGAGGGGTGGATACAGTGAAGGCGAGAGAGAACACGGTGTGGGTCTGGGCGGAAAGTGGCGTACAGCTAAGAAGTCAAGCCACAATCAAGCGGTTCAAACGAAGCAACGCGGTCACATGCCGTGGACAGAAGTACAAAACTGCCTAATTTGGACAGAGGTGGACACGGTCCACGGCGATTGATCGGATTTGATCCATGCTGATCATGATGTGCCCTGATGTGCCACGGTCCACGCAGGTCCACGCAAGCCACACTGCCTATTTGGGATAACAACCATGGCCGCAAGGCGCGACCTTCCAAATGCAGGTACATTTCGGAGAACAAAGGTTGCCTAACATGTGCTTCGGAAGTTTACCTGGCCTCAGAAGCGGACTATTCGCAGCCTACGAGTGTGCCCACCTCGGCATATATAAGTGTGGTGGCAGCGTTCAAACGCGGTCGCAACTGGCATCCACTCCGGTGATCCTAGCTCGCTGATCTAACCATGGACGACTATATGCTCTCCCTCGATGTTCTACAGTCATTTGCTGGCGATCACAAGGAGTATAACGAGGATGGACTAGAAGGTTTCTGGTACCCGTACTGGGCGAAAGCTTTCGACCGTGACGGAAGATTCAATCCCAACCGTGTCTTTGCCGCTCCTCAATACCCTCTGACAAAGCTGCAACTCAAGAGTAACGGTGCTCTGAAAAAGGTCAGGAAACTGCCGGACTTCGTGTTACTTTACATGGAGGGCCACCGGGGAGTCAAACGCCGGGTCACGTCCTCCGAGGTACGCAATTACGAGGCGATGCTTGCACACTACAAGGGTGATTGCATAGTTGACGACCACGCGATCCTGGCTGTTTGCGAGATCAAGACACTTCCATACCTATCTCCCGACATTCCGGAGCACAGCTATGAGGCAGCTTTCGAAAGGGACATGCATCAATACCAAACCGCCGCGAAGTCTGGAGCTTTCAAGCAGCTTACGTTGCTATTTTCTGCCCTCGCCGATGAGGGTCGGCACGTAGAAGCAATCGCCGCAGTGGCGGCTGTTGGTCCATTCTTCTCCATCGCAAACTGCGAAGATGATCAGATCGAATTCCTATCCAACAATACTGACCCTACCTACCGTCAACCGCCGGCCTCAGAGCAGCAGTCCGACACGGACCTAGAATATGACAGTGTTTATTCGCCTCCCCTTGAAGCCACTGGCACCGCTCACCAGCCAGCTCGGGGGCGTCCGAGGTAAGTTGGACCACCTCTCAAGGGTACAACTTGAGGACTTACAGGCCCTTGTGCTCGTTGCACAATAGGACCCTCCGCCCTGCAGCTGCACTGAAGAAGACGTACGTTGTTTTGTAACCAACTCTTATTGACGTCTTTGACATCTCTTGCAGGGTGCGGTACGGGACCACGGACGTGACCAAGGGCAAGCGCACAGTCTTAGCATCTGCAAGGTCAGCTTACATGACGTTGGGTATATGTTCCTCTGCGGTAATTTGAAGCCAACTTTTGCAGTCGCCCAGGAGTTGAACCTTCAGGACGGGCTGGACCGTCTCAGCGAAGTTCCAATACTACCATGCAAACTCGTCGTTCAGAGCAGGGTACAAGGTAAGCTACCGTGTACCAAATGTTATGAAGCGCGATGTTGACGGCGTACGCCGTGGCAAGTCTCAATCGCCAAAGGATTCTTCGTCCTGAGGTGCCAAAAAAGGTCCCTACTAGTGGTACAATGGTTACTGCTGCTGAGGCCCCCGGTGCCCCCTTTACGCGTGGACGAGCCGGTGCTCCTCGTTCATCGCAGAACTCTGGAGTTATAGGAGGGGATTCAGGCGCATCCGCACATACTGACCAGGCCGGAATGTCCGCCGTGCCCTCGAATACTCCAAGAGTGACCAGCGCGCGGGTTGTTCAAGGCCAGCGATCGACGGCCACCAGGGCGGCTCGTTCTACCACAGCTGCACCGCCTGTTCATCGGCAACCAGTACGGCTCGCCGGTGCTCTTCGTGATGCTCAGACAGCTGTCCAAACTTCCAAACCTGCTAGTGGGCCTCATGCGACCGCATCACCTCAGCGTGTTGTGGACTCGAGGACCCCAGGACCCTCTAGGATCCCTCGCAGGAGTGGTGGACCTGCGGACATGAGCAGGAACGTGGCGGCTGTTAGCACAACACAGAAAAGCGGTACAAGTATACATGGACCGCAGCGCACAGCCTCGGGCGCATCGGCTGTGCTCAAGAAAGCTGAAAGTGCTCGCACTCAGGCCATAAGGCAGCAGCTTGAACAGCTTCGCGAGCCCGCCTCCGTAATAAGGGAGTAAGTGCCGTCATTCACCATCATCGCGTTGTGATCTAGCATTGCTCATTGTGACTACTCTTCGTAAATTACCATAGATTAGAGTGGACAGAATTCGAGCGCTGGACGGATCCAAGTGCAGAGAAGACTAAGGATAGGCTGCTCGAGATGATTATCCAGAATAATCCTCAACGTCAAATCGAGCATCCTCATAGAGTCATACTTCGGAACGCTGCGCTGAACAACTCAAATCCGGATCTTAGCGCGTTATTATCTGCACTCAGTATGTCTTCCTTCAGTATTACCGGGAACACGATGTTGATGTGTGGGCCCGTGAAGCTATACAGGAGTAACAGGACGTATAATACGTCTGATACCGCTCCATGGCATGGGCAATACCGTCTTCTTCCTCTTCACCTACTACCACTTATTTCCGTTGTAATGTGACTGTCTTCTACTCAAATGATTTCCTCGCCCGGATCGCGTACCAGTCGCCGTAATGTATGTACTGAGAAAGACAACCGCAATTTTTCTATTCCTCGAAACATATGATCTTGTTATCACGGCTGCAGAAGCGCAGGCAACGCTTGGGTATGTACAGTGTATATAGGCTTCTGAGGACTCACATGGGTGGATTTGCCAGTGGCCCCAAGACGTATGACAGAGCGCTGCCTGACATTCCACGACTCGGACGCGGTCGTCCTCAATCTGAGTCACGCCTACTTCGACATACTCTTCGCCCTTCTCGATGCATGTCTACTTCTCCTCAGTGCATTTCGTATCTTCCCGGACGTACTCTGCACCTCGGTCTCAATGATAATCCGAGTCCTCGCCTTCGTGTTTCAGCAGGTTCTCCAGCGGCGTAGGTAAGTGATATATTAGTACTCGAGTCCCTATGAGCTATGCCAGAGGCAGAAAGTAGTGAAACAGTTCGTCGTGATAGCCTGAGACTTCGAGCATGGACCTGCCCCGCAGGCATGCCTGACGTAGGGGGCTAGGGTGTCAGGAAGGGGATATTTGTTAAATGATGAAGGGCAGTCTGTATCGATACACGCATGTAATGAACGTTGAACATACTGCACTACCACAGCCCATCTTCTGCAGCACCTGCTGGACCACCTTTACAATCGGGCTCCACGCCGCTAGAAGACGTGCCGTTGACACCTTCGCGAACATTAATATCGCAGGCTGTACTCGCCGGCGGGGTCGTATTGCGGTTGTCGTTCCCAATGACGGATGTCACAGCGTCGCCGTCCTCGATATCGCATGTTTCAGCGTCCTCGTCATCGCGAACAGCATCCGGGTCATCGTCTTCGATGTCCACCACGTCTTGTTCATCGTACACGGCAACTTCACCATCGATGCCCACCATAGACCCCTTGGCGTAGTCTGTACCGTCCTGAGAGCCCGTCGCAGCCTCTTCCAGGTCCTCCGCATCGCCCTCGAGGTACTCTCCTCTCTCCTTGAGATACTCTCCTCCTTCCTCGGCGTGCTCCGCGGGTTCCTGGTCATCTTCATAGAATTCCACAAGGTCTTCTTCGGCACCAACACCATACTCGACTTCCTCCTCATCGTACTCTCCGTACTCGGCTTCGTATTCTTGCACGACAACATCCACACCAGCTTCTTCCTCCGGTTCGGGCTGTGGCAACGTGTGCAAGACGTCGACCCAGACTTCATCCTCGTCGTCGTCATCGTCGTCCGGATAGCGCCACGGTGTATGCGAGCCGTCGACACATTAATACCACTGAGCCTTGCCCTTGAGTGGCATCAGCTCGTTCAACTTGTCGGCGTACTTCTTCGACAACATCTGCGAGCGCGGAATCCACCTAGGAGGATACGACCTGCGCTTGTTATCGACGTAGATGGCGAAGACGAGCTCGATGTTCTCGTCTTCATCAACCAAGCACTCCATCATGTAAGGCCACCAAAGGCGGCTCACGATATATTTGACTCCCGCGTCCTCGACTGCCAGCTCATCGTCAGCTTTTGGCCCGCGTACGAGGTTGAGATATCTGGATAGTTCGATGACAGCTTCCTTGTCGACATGCCACCCGAGAGCCCAAGGTTTCCGTGCCATCCCCGTTCAGAAGCAATACACCAGGGATAACGAAGACCAGTACGCGGGAGTGCGAGGAGAGGATAGACTATAGTAGTCTCATGTGAATGAGTTTGAGCCCGACGCGTTATTAGTGAAGTGCCCTGTGGAGGAGCGATGCACGTGGCCGTGTCGCGCTGAGCGTTCCGGAGCGCCGGGATCGAGCCTCTAAATAACTTGTCCGGCGCGCGACGACGACATCGACTCAGAGTCCTGATGGCCTTCCGCAGCATCTCTTTCTTGGGTATTGTCCTTGACAATGGCCCTTCAAGCAGCTATTGGAGTGCTCTATGCGCTGACGTTGACTCTGTGGGCGTATGGTCTTGAGCAATACCCACTCTACCCGCTGAGGTCGTCTGAGGGACCTCTGCCCCTTCCATGGGACACACCCCTCGGCGAAGATGCGACTGGAAACCTCGTATTGCACTCTCTCGCCTCGCTCATGCAGATGAAGCCCAACTCAAGGTACCCGAGAGGTGCGCAGGGCCTCCCTACGTTGGTAGTTGCGCGTTCTAACATCACTGTGTCAGGACACTCCATCGTCCGAGCTAGTATCCCGCCTGGGACGCTGTTGTATCACGGTCGAGGAGATAGTGGTTACCCATACATGGACTGGCTCGCATTTGATCCGGAACACTCCCGCATATTCGCGAGAAGCGAGAACGGCACCCTCTTCACCTTCACCACTACCCGCGAACTCAAACTGCTGTACTTCGATGGCTGCAGTGCGAACGAACTCAGCGGCACGACGGATGCGCAGGACATCCTAGTCTGGGGAGAGGTTGATCATGGAAAGCCATGGGACTGGCAGTCTCAGGTCGATCGCATCAACCAGACGTGCGCTTGGGGCAAGCCATTTGGTGTGGACGGGTATATCAGAATGGAGTTCGACTTGTACGTCGGCTGTTGCATGCATTCCACCTCGTGGTCACTCAGCATGGCATCAGTGAAATCATGTACTGCGACTTCTCAGATGGGTTGGAACTTGTGTCCGCAATACCTACAGTCAACGAGGGCGGCCGCCCTCCTCCGCACGGTCCGGACAAGCCAGATGATAGCACGAGCTCTGCACACACCGTCGTGATACCTGGATGGCCCTCTTACGACGGCCAGGCCACCTTTCATGGCCTACACGTCCCCGGTACTGCGCAAGGTCACCATTCTGACCTGCGCCAACCTCGCTTCCCTCCCAACCCGCCAGAGGGTTGGAAAGGTACCTGGCCTGTCATGAACAACTCGATACGGCACGCAGGAAGCTGGCACAACGACTTCCCGGGCGACGTCCGGGTGCACCCCGACCCCTCCACCCTAGTCTCGTTCTATGACCCCGCGCTCACCTCTCTGGTAGCCGCGCGTCGCTCCGTGCGCCGCGACGACTATAGGCCGGGCAACATCTCCGCAGAAGACATGGCCTGCGTGCGTTCTGACGTCGTCGAGATGATACGGCGCGATCCCAGTGAGCGCAGCGGAGTGGACTGGCGTGGACTCGCAAGGGCCATACAGGATAGGTTCTCAGACCGGCTGCCGTACCTGCAATATTTGCTCCACCAGCCCGCGGCGAACGTATCCGAACAGGTCAGGACGGTGCGCAAGCAGTTCATCGTCTCCCTCCTTCCGTATATGCAACGCCCGGGGCTCGGCGAACCGGAGTGGTTCGCTCAGATCGCTCACAGCTGTGCGACAAACTTCGTCACGCACCTGCCTGTTGAGAAGTTCACGAAGCAGGAGCGCATCCTACGTCACGCAATCGGTGAGGTTCTGCATGAGATTTGCCGTGTATTGACACTCGCATGGACCGAGGCGTTCGACGTCGAAGAGAAGAGCCCGGACGTCGCCGTCGCGTTGAGGGAGAAGTGGAAGACCTCAGTCGATGCACTGGTCGAGTGGCTAGACTGGCCAGTGTGGTTGAAGTGTGATCCGGCATGTGGTGTAGACGTGAGTGCGCTGGGGTGAAAACGGATTGTACGCACTGTGCTCACTGAGCTTCGTGACAGGAATTCTGCTACTTGCCACAGCGAGGAGGGCCGTTCGACCCAGAGCCTGACAAGGACGTTGATCAGACGCCACAGTGCGTCGCCATAGATAGTTCGTGGACTTGAGGTCATAGCCGTGTCGAACCTAGGCCATAGCCCTCAAGTGTCTTGCTTGCGTTTTGAGAATGTTGTCGTAGGATCTGTAGGGAGCTGTAGGGTATATACATTTAGTAATCAGGCATTGGCTGTGCACTGGGCTCGGCGATGATCGCGAGAAGTGAGCATTACGTCGATGGCAGTGTACAAACAGGATAAGTAAAATGCAGCGAGAGGGGCAAATAAAATAACGTGAGTCCGCGAGGTAGTAACCGGCTAATGAGGTGTCTCATTCGGCTACGGTCGTGAGGGTTTTGGTCCATTCTACAACAGTGGGATGGGCCAAGACCTGACACGGAGGCCATGTGAGTTCTGTACAGTGGCAAAATGAGAGAAAACGGGCCTGCGCACCTTCCTCGCGTCGAAGTTCTTCACCTCCAGTCCATCTAATGTTGTCGCTCGAGAGAGCGCGACGTATGCCTGACCTATAGCCGGCGTCAGCGGGCAAGACATCACGACGGAGAACGTATCTTACCCTTCTCGAAAACCTTGCCGAGATCGACCTTGACTCGCTCTAGTGTCTGTCCTTGCGATTTGTGTATCGACATCGCCCATGCGAGGATCAACGGCAGCTGCGAGAGCCCAAGATGCATACATCAGATCTTACTTTCACTATGTCTGAGATGTCTGGCAAACCACACGTACCTGCGACCTACTGACTTGTACCTCACCATTCGGCAGCTCAACCTTGAATATCTCCACCGTCACCATATGGCGGCGCATCCCGCCGCCAGGTAGCAGGAAGTCCACTACGGGCCAGAGCTGGCCGCTGCCGAGCTTCGCATCCTTCCCATTCTTGGAGGGCGGCTTCACCGAGGATACCGGTCTGGAAGTGGTGCCAGACATTTGCTTGTCATTGACGTTGGAAAGCGCCTCTGGGTCAGCGGGGTCGGCGAACTTGATGATCTTGCCCACTGAGCCGTTGACGAGTGTCTCGTCGAGGTTCTTGATGAGCATGACCTGGGTGCACGCGTCAATGCACGCTGACAGGTAGTCGTACAATGTGCTCGTCATACCTGGGCGCCGACCTTGAGCGTGAGCGCGCGCGGGACCATGAAGTTGTTCAGCATCTTCTCGCGCTGCTGATCGTCGTGGAGGGTTCCACCGTCCGACGAAGTGAATGACCGCACTTCCGTGTCCAGGCTCTGCATCCGCGTTGCATTCGCGCGATCGACATCTTGACGGAGTGGGAAGCTAAGGCCGTCGCGCGGGCAGTCAGGTTCCACATTTTGGTGAGACAGTAGCAGCGACGTACAGTTCGGCGGCAGCAACGCCGTCTTCGTATATGATCTCGCGGTCGAGGCTCCTGAATCTTTCGATCGACCGCTGCGACAACTGCCCATAACGCATCTCATTGAGCATGTCGACGAAATCTGGAGAGCATATAAGCACAGGCACGTTCACAACAGACCTCTCGCAGGCCACGGACCTTGATCACGCTGCCGGAACACCTTCGTGAGCTTGAAGTTGTTCTTCTTGATTGTGTGGCTCCACATCTCTGCTTCAAATGCGAAGCTGACTTTCCCGCTCTTGTTGACGGGAGGAAGCTGGAAGAAATCTCCAGTTACGATGACCTAGCCTCGAGCGTGAGCGAATCTACGTGGATGTGCTGAAACTACACTTCAACCCACCTGGATGCCTCCAAATGGCACTGACTTCTTGCGCATCATGCTCCCGATGCGACAAAGCTTGTCGAAGAGCTCGCCCTCGACCATCGAGACTAAATGGCATCAGTTGCGAAAATGTTATTCCAGCTCAAATCCCGACTCGC